CGATGACGACTGTTTGTCCACATACTGCCACACTGGCACGCCAGGGCCTGCATTGGTATTGATCCTATTGACAAAAAAGTTTTATAAGAACATTTGTACATTTCAATATGCAAATAACAAAACTCCAGCGAGATGTCTATTCGAGCATTAGCAGTTAGCTGATGACTGATGTAATCCAGCCCAAATCCCACTTTTTACGCCGTGTAAACTATGCATGGTGGAGAATATGTAATGATACCATTTATCTTCATGGAAGTGGTGACAGGCTGCTGGAGGTGCTCCTCTGCTCTGGCTCTGCACACTGCCCACCAGGATCATTTGCTTTGTGCAGTAGTCGCCAGATTACCAAAGTGTGCTCAGCTGTAATTCTGATGATTGTGGGTTTTGCCTCTGCTTTCAAATGATGGAGCTCTCACTGTACACAACTTAGTAGTGTTTTGATTCGGGTCTGTGGATGCTTTTACAGAACGAATATTAATAATGAACATATTTTATTTGCAATCTGCATAATGTGCTATGAATTAAGAACTGTAGAAGTGCCCTAACCTCCAAACCCTCTTCGTATCAAAGTCATTTTCCCACCAAAAAAGAGCGGAGTTTCTGGAAATTCTCTTGTCATGTAATGCCAGCAACAAATCCAGGCCCATCGTCTGTCGGGCGCAGAGTCCAAGCGCTGAAAGAACATCGAGACACCACACAATCATATGTTGCTGTTTGATCAAACTTAATCAGTCTGACCAGGTCTGAGCAGCCAACAGCACATTTTCAGCTTGGCTTGTTTTTGCTCTCCGCTACTACAATTTGATATTGAGTGATTAATGTGTGTTTTGACTTTGTGCATTTCAAACAGTTTGTAAGTATTTTTAATGTGCCACTTCTATATCAATAGACCCTTGCCTTGCTCTTCTCAAACAAAAACGACTCCCTCCGCACTGAACCTAGTCCCCGAACGAAACACAACAATTATCTGCTCTCTGTTTGACTTTGGCTTACCTCTCCTCTGTGCTAGTCTTTTGCCGCATTAGACGCTTCCTAAGGCTGCCTCTGTGACAATAATCTGAACTGAGAGTCTCTGAAGTGTTTCTTAAGTGGAGCGTTCATTTTAGCGTCCATGTTTCTTTTAAGGATTAAATCACAGAAAGCTGCCCATCAGGAATACCAAATCAAAATGGGGCTTTACTAAGTTATGAGTCATGTGAGTGAGAGAGGGGGAATGGATGCCTTGGCAATAGACATGTTTGCAGGATTCACAGTGCCAGCTCTTAATTACTCTAATTGGAGTCATTAGCTAAGTGATCATGAGAGACATCACCTGCGCGGCACACTGGACCGCACCTGCCACTGTCTGCCCCTGTCTGTCTACCCCTGTCTGTCTGCTCCTGTCTGCCATATTATGCCCCTACGTGCTCCTGTCAGCCCCTGTCTTCTCTTTGCCACTGTCTGCTTTGACCCTATATGCCCCTACCTACACCTGTCGTTCCATGTCTGCTCCTGTTTCCTCTGTCTGCCCCTGTATGCTCCTGTCCACCTTTGTATGTCCCTGACTGCTATTGCCTTTCCACCATCAGCGTCATATGTGTTTATCCGGGCAACAGATCAGAATCACACCGTAGCAGCTTCTCGTCAGGCTGTGCATGATTAAGAAGTACTGTAGCCACAGAAAAACAGGAATCTCTTATTTTGCTTTACATATAGACATATAAAATATTAGTTATTTATGTTCTCAAATGTGTGTATTTTTGGTGGTGAGTATTTCATTCGTATTGTGTTTCATCTGGTGCTTTCTAACTGATCTTTTGTACAAAAAAGTACCAATTTATGTAGCCTATGTTCTGTGGTGTTTTTCATTCCTTTTTAAAGCTATTTAACAAACACATCCTGGGGACAAAGTCGGACTTGATCCAATGACAAACTTTGATGAGGCTCAGTCCGCAGGCTACACCAGGCTACACCTATCTGTGAGCTCCTCAGCACCAGCACAATCTGGCAGAGGAGCAGCCGCCAGCCTGAGGCCCGGGGCACAGGCTTAGGCCCAGCCAACTCTGACCAGCTGCTTCAGACTAACACCAGAGCGAGTGCTGTTAGCATGGCTCTATCAGCGGGCAGCGCACTGTTAACTGTGCTCTACACACAGACACACCTGAAGGGGGACAGGCCGCACTTTAGAAGAACAAATCTTAACCATATAACATTCTTAGCATTTTTACTATATATTTTTTTCAAATATTTTGAAAAGGGTTTGTGGCATGGTGCAGGACAGGTGCATATACAAGGCAGCCCAATGTCTTTTTTGTTTTTCACTGTTTGCTGTTGATATTATTTTAAAATAAAATTAAATAAATTGTGATTAAAGCAATGACTACAAATCTATATGTGAGACAGTTTGGTTAATTTAACCCAGGCCTCTGTGTTACCAGTTAATAAAAAATAGTTGTCCCTTTGTTCATTTATGCTGAGGATTTAACAGTGAAATTAAGTGTCTTCTAATTCTCTCACCTGGGACATTGGTTATATCAGTTACACCACAGAGGTCTGTGTCCTAATAAAAAACATGCTTAATTAACAGTTTCCACACCATCAAGTAAAATTGTGTTTCTTTTTGAAGTTTGTAATGATCTTAGTCCCTCTTTGCCTGAGCTGTAGGCCTGGTACCTCCGCAGTGGCCCACCTCCTCGCGGCTCTCTACATGTGACAGTTAAAAGGCGTGCATACACAGAGAAAGAGCAGGCAGCTCATTGTGCGTTTAAAGCGCTAACTAGGCCACTTAGCGCCCCGTGACGCTGATCCGATCCCTGAGGCGTTGAACTTGGCACCGGGCCCTCCTTCTTTTCGCTCCTTTCCTTTCCTCTCGCCATGGGAACCAGGCCATCCTTAATGACGCAGGAGTGCTCTGCCCCATCCCACAATGCAAAGGGGCCTGACATCTGTCTTGCTAAGTGGTGCACTCTCTTGTGCACCTTGTTTGTTCAATCAACAACTCCCCCTCCCATTTTACATGCCTGTGTTTTTTACACCCAAATTAAGACAAAAGGTGAGAGAATTTTGTCAATGAGCCACAGAGGTCGTGGCTTACCCAATCACACTCTCCTCATAATTAGAGTGCCTATATGTAAAATGAGGGTATGAATGCATCTATCTAATTGCATGATGGTCAGTCAGCCATCTCTTGTGTGTGCCGAGGAAAACGTAATTGATTCAAAGTGGCCCCTAATTCTACATATTAAATACCCAGGCAAATATTTGTCCCATCAATCATGAAAATATAGCCATCAACACAAAATGGTAATCACATGCTAATGGAAACCAGGGACTCAATGCACCCCCGTAGCGCAATGAACGCTTCCACTTTTTACCCCCAAAAGCCACGTGAATGCAAATGGCCATCTAAGAAACCATTCTGACTGCATGCCAACGCAACGTAAAGAGCCCCCTTCTTTATGCTCCTCTGGGAATGTATGTGAAGATGTGTGGAGATGCGTTCATGTTAGCCAGCCCAGGTGCCAGTGTATGAATGAATAACAGCTTTCAGCGCTAAATGTTAAACAAAGCGCACAGAGACATTATCGCATGTAGCTGCTTAAGTGCGTCTGTGCTGGAGGAGGCTCACATTCCCACATGGAGAATTTGTGGCTCCTATACATTATTAAAGGGCCCATGATAGAACAGTTGTGTTTGTTAATTGCTAAGTACAAACACTCAGTAGTCTGCTACTTTGGGCACTTCCTGCTGTAAGTGCAATATGATACTGTCGCCACCTGTTTAAATCAAAATTAAAGGCTTCTTATTACAATATTTTCTGTTATACTCTTGTTTCCTCATCACAAACATACCTGGAGTTGTGTTTTGTTTCATTCACACATGTTTAACACACAAACCCTGCATATTTAGGGTTGTTCTTCAAACTGAAAACACTGTGTTCCACCTTGTGATGTCATGCGGTAATGCAGGAAGTGCTCCACTGTGTTTTTAAACCCCATACACCTTCACTAGAATCATTTGGATAATTTCTGACCTGGAATTGTAGACTAAACTAAAGGTCAAAGCTGGCCGTTAACTTGAAAACTACCACCACATGACATCACAAAGTAGAACAGAGTGTTTTGAGCTTTGGAGATGTTGACAGAGCAATAATAAAGGGTTACTCAAATATGTGTCAGTGAAACAAAACACCACTCCAGGTATGTTTTTTTTTTGCATTATTACATGGCTTGAAGCTCACGAGGGTCAATTCTGTGTAATATAGGACCTTTAAGGAACACACACACTTGATGCCTAAATGCACAAAAGTTATATATCACATCATGGAAAGCAAAAGAATTCAAGAAGATAAAATGTAAAAAATTAAACTACTAACCAACAATTAGGCCTACACAAAAATAATTAAAATAGTATTGCTGTTTATGTATTTATTTATTTTTTTCAGTTTAGAAAAAAATCTAAACATGTCTTCATCATAAAGTCCAGTATGAACTAATATTGCAACACATCATGACCAAAATATAGGTCACTTTGTCACTGATCCACGGTGGAAAAATCACCAGCGGTCACATAATTCTCACTCAAACTCTCACACAATCCTTCACCATGTAAACATTAATGACTCTACTGATTATACACACACAACCTTTGGTCTCATTAAAGGTGCACTGTGTACTTTTTCTGATGGAGAGCCTGTCATCTGTTATTCTCTTAAAATTGTTATTGCTTTACCTGGAATGTTCCACAGTATTTAACTTGTAGTACTAACAGTATTAATATTTGGTTTAGTGGGGTCACTTCCTTGTCTCTGTAGAGTTTTTATATCACTTTGCAAAACATTCCAGGCAAAACATCTTCTCTTTTAGTGTTAATTTTATAATAATGATGATGATTTTTTAGTTACGAATTGTGCTATACAAATAAACTTTCCATCTCACTGTATAAAAGAAAATTCCAGACCCTCCACCTAAAACACACACAGTGCCCCTTTCCGTTTCAAACCACAAAGTCTCCAGCAGCAGTCACAGATGCAGCGACCCCACAGTGCTCCTCTCCTCTCGTCCTGTTTCACATTTGCACTCCTCCACCACCATCACCGTCTTCTCCCTGACCCCGCGGGCTCCACAGTGCAGAGGGACAGTGCGGGTGCGGGCTTTGGACGGGGCACAGCGGGAGCAGGGGGTCCTCTGGTGATGGGGCGCTCCACTCGAGAGCTCCACCTCTGGGATGAACATAGAATTGCACTGTCCGAAGCACAGTTTGTTGTAGACTGTCACAGGTTCGCAACCCTCCTCGGTCACTTTCTACAAGAACATAAAATAGTCTGTAACAGTTTTTAAATGAAGAATTACTTATATTCGTTGTGATAACTGTCCACTGGTGATTGTTGCATTATCATTGTCAGTGGTAGAAGAAGTAGGTTGTGTTACTTAAGTAAAAGTACAGATATCTGAGCAAAAAATACAAAATAAACAGTAAAAGTATCTCATGAAAAGTATACTTAAGTACAAGTATTAATGTACCTGTTTTTTTTTTTAAAAGTATTTTGCTCAGAGTTTGAAATCTATACACTGTAAAAAATAAAATCTACCCAAGTTAAGATCACTAGAATTAAGGAAGTTTTATCACTATTTCACTTGACAAGTAAAATTTTTTGCTAATGGAACAAGACTTTTTGAGCTTAAAATATGAAAATACAACTTGCTATACTTAAGATAAGAAAAACAACAACTCTTTGCACTTAAAATAAGAAATGAAACCTAATGCTGCTTGAATTAAGGAAAACACACTTATTCCATTGGTTGATAATTTTACTTGTGAAGTTGAATCTACTCGAATAAAGTAAAATGTTATTAATTTAAATCATTTTTAACTAACCTAGATATTACTTTTTGCAGTGTAAATCTTATTCTGGTTTTGATAAAGATTTGTGCAACAGAAATTATTGAATTACATTTTTTTTCTGTTTTTATTTGTATATTTTTGTTTGCTCAAATTACAAATGTGCTGAAAATGTAGTGGAGTAGAAAGTATAGATATCTTCTCTTCAATGTAGTGAAATTAAAGAAAGAAGTAAAAACATTTAAGTAAAATACAGATAGATCCTTTTTTTTTTTTTAACTGAAGTTTCACAGATGTACAGTACTATTACTTTGTTACGTTCCACCACTGATCATTACATTTTAGCTCTGCATGAGTGAATCTGCACATGGGTGACAAGCAAAAGGTTTAAAAGTGCAAGGCTGAATTTACATAAGAAATGCAATGATCCTAAATGATCCAAATTAAGAGTGAAAAAACAAACATGGGTAATCCATTTAGCATTACTGATCCAAACCAAATGGAAAAACATAACAGACCAAAAAGTTAAACATCTTTCACATTCTGACAAGGGGCACATTTGGCTTGTAAAAGATGACTAGAATTATCAGATAATACAGTGATATAATAATACAGTCTGATTTTTGGTGTGTGTTTACACGCACAAAAGAAATCTGATAATCAAAACATGGTAACAATGTTTTAGTTACTTAATGGATTTTTGGAGCAACTGTTGTATTTGGAAGACAAAGTACTATGAAATAAAATAACACAATCAATCTTTCATTTTTGTCTTTGCCGCATTAATTTGGCCTTCTTTTTCCTAACACAGATTTAACCCTTAACAAAACATTTTAGAAATCAGATAATGATCAGATTTTCACAGGGCACGTAAACATATCTACAAAATGCATATAACATGTTGTTCTAAACGTATTTATTTTTTATGAATACACTGCAAAAACTAAAATCTAGCCAAGTAAAGATAATTTGAATTTTGTCATGATTTGAGTAAATTTCACTTGACAACTAAAATTGTCTACCAATGGAACAAGACTTTTTGTACTTAAAATATGAAAACATATCTTGCCACTCTTAAGATAAGAAATGAGAAAAAAAATCTAATGTTGTCTGAATTAAGAAAAACACACTTATTCCGTTGGTAGATAATTTTACTTGCCAAGTTGAATCTACTCAAATAAAGTCACATGTTCTTAATTGAAATAATTTTAACCTGCTTTTTGTAATGTAATTAAAAAAATGTGCAGTGTATTTTTGCCTTTCTTGCTTGACGTTTTTGAGAAACTGTCTTTTTTTCTTACCTGATTAAAAGGGACTGCAGTACATGTCTGTTTGGAGTCCTTCAGGGCACTCGGCAGGACCACTTTTTGCTTGTCTCCTTTCTCAATCACTTTCTGCCACATCTGCAGCCCCTGCCTCCTCCTCATGTCCACACTGGGTGAGACCTTTGGGTGCAGGTGGTTCACTGGATGCATTGGAAGCTTGGGGGCCACAGCTGGACCCGGGCGCCCCTGAGAGAGGAAGGCGGGGAGGGCAGGCCTGGAGCTCAGAGAGGGGGCCCTCCTGGAGCTCAGTCCCCGTCTGAAGAGTCCCGACTGGGCCAAAGCGCGGTGGTCCAGCTGCACCACCCTCACCACTCCCTGGATGGGCTCGTCCGGACCGCCACCAGATGCCTCCAATTCCTGTCTGTGCCCCCTGCGCAGGCTGTCCAAGAGGTGCTGAGGGATTGGCATAACAACTGTTGTGAATGACAAAAACACAAGGCTGATAAGAAATGCCATCTTTATAAAAATGCAACGCTTTAATATTCTAAGTTTTGTTTTTCTGGTTCAAGGTTCCAAATGGAGACCTTGCTGTCATGCTGTCAGTGTGAGAGTGGGAGAGCTTATATACCAAACTGCCAATTCTCACCTGGGTTTTAATGCAGAGAAGGTGTCACATTTCCCAGAGCGCAGTACACATCCAGCCAGCTTTAAAGGCCAGGTAGAGGATTAGTGCCAGACTCAAAGGATTGCACTTTTATTAAGGTGGGTTTTTTAACATGGCCATAAAACAACACTGCAATCCACTAAGTCTATAATTGTGGCTATTGTATTCACAAGTGAAGCTCTAATGGACCTCAGCCCAATTAAGTGATTTTAGTGGATGTGTATTACAAAAGTTTAACTCAAATGTTGGTAAGTCTTGGGTGGTCTTTTAAAGGTACACTGTGTAACTTTTCTATCAGGATCTGCCATCTGCTTGTCTCCATAAAGATATGTTTTGTTTTACTATATTTCTATTTCTATTTATTTTTACTTGTACATACATTTATATAATTGTGCCTTAATTGACACCAGTCTCTTGTTATTTTTGTTACTTATTTTGAATGTGTTGTTCACATTTATTTTTTTGCTCTTTGTTATTACAGTATATTATAATGCAGTGGTGGAAGGTAACGAAGTAAAATTAGTAAAGTACTATAAGTAGATTTTAAAGTGGATACTTTTACTTTTACCACCACATCAACAAAGTACAGCACAAATCTTTCTCAAAACCGATACATTTCAAGCCTTATGAACTTAAAATATGCATGAAATACTTTTACTTTTTACTCTTTATGTACATTTTTAAATGAGTCCTTTAATACTTTTACTTAAGAAGATTTTTTCATGTGATACTTTTACTTGAGTATTTTATTGCTCTGGCATCTTTCATATGTACTACTGTGATGTGTGAGTTACTGTGTCCCTTGTGAAACAGTAAAGTTTGTCTAAGTCTGAGTCTAAGTAGTGTCTTTTTCATTGAGCTATAATGATTTTACACTCTTTGTGCAAACGTTCCTGTCCATTCCTTCCCACACACACCCTTTATCCCCGCCTGTCCCTTGAAGTGTCATTATTACACAGTTGCTTCTGAATGGGGGTGCTCACCCGTGACATGATCACTCAGTGGGTGCTGATGGGTGCCCCGGCCCCAGCTCCACAATGAGACCCTGTTTGACTTTCTCTTTGTCACCCACGTCCTCGTCATGTCCGCCCAGAATGAACCACAGCCCACGAGAAGTCACCCCTGTCAGACTACACACTCCAGCATTCAGCAGGACTCACAGATCACAACAGGACAATTTTATAAGCAATATCATCCATAAATCCATCAAGCAGCATTTACATAATAAACTCAACGTTTCTCTTAATGTTAAATATTTTTCAGATTTTTCAGAGAGAATTAAAACAAAAATAATTTGGTCTATCATGAATTGCTGTTAGATCTTTATATAGTATTTATATTCTCAAGTGTATTTTAACCAGTAATTTATAAGTATGATTATAATTAATGCAGATAACATATTTGAGGCATATTGTATTTTAATACAGAGCTTTACTGTTGGCAACAATTTACAATATTTTTCTTACTTTACTTTAATTTCACTACTCACGTGACAGAGATTTTTAAATTGTTTTTAAACATAGTTTTTGCAACAGGCTACAAGGACATTTTCATGTTTTTTTTTTTTTTTTTTGTTTTTTGACAGAGATGGCAATTTTACGAGTTTTGATGCTAAATATTTGTGTCCACAAGAGGGCGCACAACAAAACGGGGATTCTCCGAGTGCGTAGGTCAATGTTAAAACAAAGAACGTGAACGCAGAAGAGTCGATTCATCAGAGCAATTACATCATAGACCTTTACTACATTCATCAGCACTTCTTTTACATAACTATATATAACTATAAAATATATATAACTATATAATAGCCTAATTACTTTTGACTTTTTTAGACGTTTCAACATTGCAATAGTTGGCAGTGACTTGTTCAACCCTAAAGGGCCTATTGAATTCTATAGGACGAGAAATGAGAAATGTGGTATTATAAGCCTCATATTATAGGACCACTGTATAGGACCGTAGCCATCACTTATTTAGACATTTCAGATTATTACTATTTTAGAATACCATCTTCACCCAGGCGATTTTAACAAAATCAGCATAATATTTTACAATTAAAGAAGAGTAATTTTTTTTGTATAAGAGGATTTAATGTGGTACAAAACACAAAACAACACAGAATGTTCAATGATCAAATAAAATTGCAGTTGCAGTTAATGTAACACAGGGTAACAATAGGACCAAAGTCTTTGATTCTAAACAGAAGTCAGTACATTTTCTAGTGTCAGATAACAATTATATTTCTTTATTCTTTTGGGCAATCTTTTTTATGGTATTTGATTAGTAGTCTCCTTAAAGTAACACATGCTATTTTATAGAATGAGTACAATGCACATATAACAGATATAGATACAAAAATATTACAATTATTATTGCTTTGACAGACAGACGGACACACGTCATTACAAACATGTTGTGCTCAGCATGCCATATATACAAACATAAATAAAATGTACAGTGGGTTTTATATAAAAAGAACTATTTTTTTGTCCTGATGTGTTGATGGAGAGACTATGCCTTTCGACCGATGTCCTTGTATAAGACCATTGAGACCACCATAGCTGCAATCTGAAAAAAACAAAAACAAAATAGTAAAGGCTACAAATGTATGAACGAACTGACAAATTAGTAAGCATGGGACAAGACAGATTTCCCACAAGATGAGGCGAAACACGAGACTGTGTCCAGATCGAGACAAGACAATTTGTAACAACTAAATTGTGTAATTCAGTTCACAATTTTGGCCCTTTATATCATTTTGCTGTATTCTACTATTGCTTTATTACTGTGGCTTCTCAAAATGTTCAAACCAAATGCAAAGATGTGGGGAGAAAAAATCTCATGAGATAATCTTCAAGCAATTAGTCACATTCATATAAATTAGTAATAATAGCAGTGATCTAAATTAATGTTAAAAATGTAATTTTAACCTGTTTTTAAAAAGTACTTTACATCAAAGAAGAGCACATTCACATTTTGCTATACAAATTGTTTCTGGATATTTTTGTACCTCTAGAGCAGCAATTCCCAGAGCCACGCCAGCAACAATTATTGAATTCTCTTTTATAAAGTCTATCAGCCTCTGGAAACACCCAGGGACCATCTGTAAAGGACATAATAAAGAGATACATGTTATGTCATTCTGTCAAACTGATCATTATTATACAGTTATTATAATACACACCGATAGACCTGCTCCTGTCTTAGAGCACGTGTCACCTAACAATTCGGTGGAGTTGCAGCAGGTGGTTGGGTAAAGGGAAAATGTTGTGACAAACGGGGACTCATCAAAATCAGTGTAGTTCTTAAAACCACAGCACTTGAACTAAACAAGAACAAATGTTATTTAAATTTTGTAATGTAAAATGTAAAATACAGTATAATCCAAAATAATCCAAATTACTGACCTGCATCATTGTGGCATTCCAGAGATCTGTAATGTGTTCATCCTTTCCATAATTCTCAGTAATGTCCTTCCTCACTTCATCCTCAAGACCATCAATGAGTGATGCAGCCTGAAAATCAACATTGAGAATAAGATTACTCCTTTGTTTTTGCTTTGTTTTGTTTGTTTGTTTTAGAAAAGTCTCTCACCAGATCTTCAAAGACTAGCAACACGATCGCTGCAGCCACCTCAATGAGGAAGATGATCAGCACGATACTAAAGAACTAAAAGAAAACAAGAAAAAAAAAAATTGGTGATGGTGACACAATGCACACATTAACAAACACAGACAAAACGTTTTAAGATAGTCTGAGAAAAATACAAAAGGATTTAAAGAACTAAATAAAATGTCGAGAACACTCCTGTGTATTGAAAAACTACAAAACTTTTATTAAATCTTTGGCACCTGCTGAAGCACATTGTTCCTGTACACCTATGAGTGGGCTTTGCTAAATAACCAAGTGAACTTTTAGGGCTTTTTAACATAATAATATTTAATTAACAAACACTAATAATGGATAAGAACAGTTAAATCAGTTAAATTTACTTGTTTGGCTTTTTAATTAAATCCAAATCCACTTTATTTATATAGCACATTTTATAAACAAACAACAGATTCCAAAAAAGCGCTGCACAGAAGTTGACGTGTAAATTAAAGATTCTCTAGTCAGCTCCACCGGTTGTTATTAATAAAAAAAAGTCAAACCAAATAAGACACAGTAAACCACAATAAATATTCATTATTAAGAGAAAATAAATAAATAAATGAAACAGATGAGTCAAACAAATAGTTACTAATTCAAAGTGTTTTTGGAAGAATAATTGTATATAGGCCAAGCTTTTTCTCTCTAAGATCTACTAATACTGAGTTGATATAATGGTCACACTAGCCTTATATATGGGATACATTATTAAATAAAACCGCCCATGTGTTAGTGCACAAAGTTTGGCATCTAAAGCCAGATGATAATAAACACATGATGAGTCAGATCTGAATAATACAACGTCATTCCTAAATCCTATTTGGAGACACTTGGAAGAGTGAGGCCACAGGCTGGAGACCTGAGATCTACTGTAGACTCTCACTAGAATCACTGCATTTCATTTAAAGTAATATAAGTTTAATGAGTACAGTCTAAATCTTTACCCACATATCAGTAAGTGAACCAGACACTGTCCTGCTGGCATCCTGTGGTAGACGTCACACTCACCGTGAGCAGCATGCAGCGGCTCTCCCTCACAGCTCCACAACAGCCCAGGAACCCAATGAGCAGCAGGACGGCTCCCACACCGATGAGCAGGTAACTGACATTAGAGAGCTGGTCTAGGCCTGGAGGTGCTCCTTTTATGTTCCCCAGTAAGGACATCAGAGAGCCACTGTCCACCTTCACCCAGATGCCCACAGCCAAGATGATGGCACCTGCCAACTACATAAACATACAAACAACTCAGTGCTGGGTTTAGACAAAACATCATCAACATCAGCAGGTCTAAAGTGAGACTGTGGGAAGTGTTTAATAAGATGATATACTAGTTTAGATAAATATGGTCAAAGATTGTTATCAACAAAACATAACATGGGTCAACTGGATTTTCTTAATATAATATAATAGGTTGTGTTCACAAGAATTTTATGCCATAATTTCATATAAAGGTTGATATAACTATAAAATTTATGATCCACGAACATTGAACCTTATCATTGTTTGCTAGAGATTAGATCCACAAACTTTGGCTTGAAGTTCTTTTAAATGACAATAAACACAACTTTAGGACTGAATAATGGCATAGATTTTTGAATGTTTTGTGGAAAAAAATAAAAATAATAATAAAATATAAAATAAATGTTTTGTTTCGTTATGTTGACAGGGAAGACATTGAACTTTGTGCCAATTTTTGTTCCATATGAATGGCCCTGGTAATTAGAGAGATTCAAATATTCACCCTAAACAAAGTACACTAATCTGCAGTCTGACCATTAAACTGCAAATCCCAGCATAAATATTTTTGAACATTAAACAGCCATTAGTATAAAAAAGTGAATAATTGTACTTACAAAGATGAGTCCATTGAAAATGAACATCATAGTCTTGAGAAAGCCTGTACAACACATCTTGGCACAGTATATTGAGGCTCTGAAAAACAAAACAAATTATTCATGAAACAAGATGCAAAAGCAGTTTTCAGAGAGAATCATTTGCCCAGGAGGAAACTCCAGGGTCTTTATTGCACACAAATGCACTAACATGGTCAGATGGCCTTTGCTTAAGTTACACATTAACTAGAGTTTGAGGAGAGCAGAGGGGCCTAATCTCTGAAAGGCAGGTTTGACTTTCTGATGTCAATAAAGGTTTCGGTTAAACAATGATAATGAAATATTCTATGAAAAATGTTCTCTATGTATGAACAATTTACAGTGTAGACTTTGACTATATTTGTACGTTTCTGTAAAAAAGATGACAGATTTTGTAAATTAAGTCATTTTATAATAATCTTATCCAGTTGGTAGTCTGTCGGTAGCTGGAAAACCCATAAACTGCAATCTTTTACAACTGTATATCAGGAATAAGCTCACGATATTACTGTGAACAATTCCTCCTTACAGTTGACTTCACACCCACATTTTGACACATGCTCATGTTTGGTGTTTAAAACTAAGCATTGACACCACATTGAGATCGGAAATATTTTTCACACAAATTTATAGAAACAGAAGTCTTCAGTGGGAACTTCTCCAATTTAGTTGAATGTTTAAGTACTAAACAAAACTAATGTTATTAAAAGATAAAGATTGTTCCTCTTTGCTGAGGGCACATACTGGTTAATTCTTTCCCCCCTGGACGCCTACTAGGAACAACCCATACATATGTTACTAGGGCTGCCCATAGAGCATAATTGCATAAAAGAAAACAGACTTCCACGAGTGATTTCAGGGCAATTTTGGTTCATAATCGAGTATAAAGCCCGGATAGTTTGTTCGGATATCGCAGGACTCCATACAGACGCATCAGCGGCATTCTCATCTTCATAAGTTTCACTCTCTGTAAGTCCGTCGCTGTCGCTGTTTTCCACTTTATAATCACCCTCATCATCACTTTGAAATCTATAAAAGTCACTTTCCCTAAACTTATCCATAAAATACGTCCGCTCCTCATTATTTCTAAAACTGTGCGCCGCAGCAACGCGATCTTTCCATTGCACGTGTTTGGTGTTGTGTTTTTTCCGGAAGCTACCATCATCACTACTTCGATTAACTTCGGAAAAAATCGGCGAAAACATATCCTTGAATCCTAATGGTCAGTCTAGTGTTGGTTGTAGTGGCCCCTACCTATCACAGTCTCTGTTTAAATGTGAAAAACCGAGCCGTTTCTAAAGGTCGTCAATCACGTCTTTAGTGATACAGCGGAGGTCATTAAGGGTTCGGGGGGGGGGTCGTCAAATGTCGTCTTCATGGGGGAAAGAGTTAAATCAGTTAAGATTGTTGCATTTCTTCTTCACAGTTTAAAAAGTTTCTTGACACATTTTATCTTGAGTTTGGTACAATTTGTCACTTGAGTTTAAGGCTCACACAATCCTGACCATTTAGAGAAATATTCAAGTCTCGTTAATCAGAGGTGTAGTTAATCCCAAATTAACAAATGGATATATACTGTACATCTTAACAATGCCACTTGGACATGTACCCAAATAAGAAATGATCGTGTTTTACCTGCTAAGTGCTTCCTTTGAGGTCAGTCTGGATTCTGTCTCTCAGTCTGTGTCACCAAGTCCCTTTATCTGAGTTTCGTAGAGTATTATGGTGGTGGGGAGGTTCATGCCCGGAACGTCACTGACACCAGGTTTCATACTTCCTGGTTCAAAGTCCTTAATAAAAACATGTGAGACCTATAATAACGTTTACAAGTAGCACGCAGTCAACAGTGTTAATGATTTAAAACAACTCTGGACATTGTGTTTAGAAGACATCATGGACAAAGTCAGGTGCTTTATGGTGATATCATGGTATAATTTTTTTTACAATTGAAAAACTGATAGCTTATCAGATTCCTTAAGTTTACTCATTCATTTAGAGAAAAGTAATGTGCAGTGTGAACCCAGACCATTAGCACTATAATAACTACTCTTTATTTAGCCTTATTAAAGCATGAACAAAGATTTTATTCATATTAAACAAAATGTTACATTCATATTTAAACTTAAAACCCTACCCTCTCTAATCCTTAACCTCTTGATTAAGTAGTTATGGAGCCTAAATCGTAGTTAATAAAGATGTCTGTGTAATCCCTGTCGTCCAGGTAGAATCCATTAAAAAAGAAAATTTAATTCTGTCACCTGGACAGACGTTTTAAAGTGAAGATGTTTTTGAATTCAGAAAAGATGCTAGAGGTTTTGCATTTTTCTTTTGCTATTCTTAATTTATCATAGTAAATTGACAAATAGTTGATTAAGTCTTTCTTACTGAGGTGTTTTTATTAAAAAGTGGTACCCAGTTGGTGTATAATATATAATAGTGTAATAGAAGACAAAACAAAGCCAAACTCATAAATTCATACCTTTACATAATTTTGACACAGTCTTAAACATACATTTCATTTGGTCAGATGTCTTTGAAGCCGTCCAAAGGTTTACCATGGAGGAAATAAGTTAGTCTTGTAAATTCAGTTAATATTTGTCCCAAGTTTACACCTGCTAAAATTTCCTTAAATAAAGTGCAACTACATTTGGCTACCCGGCAGCTCCAACTCAAAAAGGTACACATCCACAAACTTATAAGGCTAAACAATCAACATTCATACATAATATAACAGTCAACATTTTTATAGAGCGTTAGATTCACAGTGATGCAGTTGTATCAAAAGACACAAGAGGGTGCCACATCGCAACAAACGCCATGTGCAAGTTTGGAAGCCATGCTCATGATCCACTGACAGCTTTGAAGTAAAAGGGACCGAAGTAAGAATAATAATGTGTTCTTTCTTGAGAAAATTGTACTTCTATTTGTAGTTTTCTCTCAGTTTATTGTAAACCATTTTATTCTTTTATTCACTAAACTTGTATTGTGTATTGTGTAATTTTTCAGGTGGACGGTCTGCCAAATGCTTTTCTCCATGATAAAATGTTATTATTTTGTCTGGAATGTTTCACAGTATGGCATTAAACCTTTATCTCCATGGTGACCAAACCAGACCAAATTACAGGTGAGATCTGTGGAGGGGTAACACCGCTCAGTCTGAATGCCTGTTTTTGTAGGTATTTTTGAGCTGTAAAACCACCTGCAGTTGAATAAATATAAGGCAGAATTGTTTAATGTCATACTGTGGAACATTCCAGGCAGAGCAATGACATATTCATAGAAACAAGCAGGTGACGGACCTCCAACCAAAAAGTTACATAGTGCACACTTAACAAAAGCTAATGTTTATTAATCGTAAATGTTTATATTTTCAAATATTAATATATTATTGGATTTTAATGATTATTATTACTGCAGCATACCTTTTTTTTTAATACTTAGATATTTCTTCCCACCATTGGAAACAACAAAACCATAAGGCACATGTCCCTTCTTTGGTGATGCATTTTAACAGTCACATTCAGATATGGTGAAGCATTAAAGGTACCATCTGTAAATAAATTGGCCGACCCACCCCTGTTATATTCTCACTATCACCACTAGAGGCTATCTATGTTACTGCTGTCTGAGTGAACTTATGCCAGCTTCGGCCTGTCAGAAGAAGACCAGAGACCACAGGTGAGCCAGAACAAAGGCCAGGAGAGCAGAGAGTAAAGGGGAATAGATTTCACATCTGGCATCTACTGGTGAAAAACACTCAAATAAACTTGCAGATGGTAGGTTTAATGTAGAGAAGCGTTCACTATATTATTTTGGCTATTTGTGATGTGCACAGTCTTTTGTCCATATTTTCCACAGGTAACAGTCAACATAAGCAGCCCGTCTGAGAGCCCAGATCTGGGTTGAGGTTCGCTGATGTGGTACCGGCATCTCCATTCATGTTAACATTAATTTTCTCACAGATGACATCCACAAGGCTGTCAAAGACTTGCTTCACGTGGATGTTGTCTTTGGCACTTGCTTCGAAGAACAGAAAGCCTACAAAAGTCAAAAACACAAACGCTCAAATGGCCGCTGGTATTAATGATTAAGCAGGAAGGTAGTGTTTTCTGAAAGTGATAAAAGAGTGACCTAGTTCTGTGGCCAGCCTCTGTGCGTCCTCTGTGGGGACCTGTCTGTCCTCTTCTAAGTCCAATTTGTTGCCCACCAGTGCGACCTGCGCATTGTCCCACGAGTAGGTCTTAATCTGGGTGGCCCTGGAGACACACAACTAAGTTCATATGGGGTATGGGCACAGAGGAAAAAAAGCCCTAACAAAGGCATACAAACTATAATTTGCTGTAACTTTTTTATTTTAAGACATTGGCCTCAGCCTATGACCTTTCACAATCATTGGCTCTAAGGGTGAAGCATATTAAGCCTTTAAACATTTGCACATATTTATTTTACCATATTTCTTTTGCGTTCTAACACAGTTTGAAACTTGTTAGCCAGCTTTGTTGCACTATTATAATTATAATCAGGCTTTGCTTTCAAAGCAAATACACACAGCTCTAAAATACACAGAGCTTGAAGACTAAAGGCATTGTCTGCTCACCAGTCCTGCACAGCATAGAACGAGTCCTGACTGGTGATGTCATACATGAGCAGGAAGCCCATGGCTCCTCTGTAGTAGGCGGTGGTTATGGTCCGGTAACGCTCCTGCCCCGCAGTGTCCTGTAAAACATAAATGTCAGTCAAAACTAAAACAGTGACGTGAATAACAGTAACAATAAAACTTTCGTAGCATTTGTACAGATCAAGATAATAACTGGAAACTGGTCAGGGTAATTATACATTTGATTGCATCATTCCTCAAGTATTCAATAGAATAACCTTCGGTCATTCTATTGAAGTAAATAGTTGTAATACATATTTATAGTGCCATTATCTTGTTATCTTGGTAGTTAATGGGTAATTTAACTTTTAAAGATATAATTTCAATACAGACCTGTAAAATTCTGCTGATGTCTCACACAGACACAGACACACACACACACACATAAGTATTTACATGGACCAGGACTGGGAGTTATGTGCTTAATTAATTAAGGATTGAATGAAGTACAGACAGAAAGCAATATGTCAACATACATTACAGGCAGTACTAGTGTGTATAGTTTACTAAATAACTTTATATGGTAACATATATAATATTTAAGAGTCTGAGTTCTGTACAAGCGCAGAGAGCTAACAGTGTGAAGAATCCGTTCACTGTTAAGATGTATGAGTTTCATCTGGGCCCAGTACTGTGGGTTTGCCTCCAGCCTTCCCCTCACATTCAGTAATAGATCTGTCGTGAGCGTCAGTCTGCGCGGTAAGCACATTTAGCCCAGCAGCTTAAAGCCATGCATCTTTCATGAAGCCCGCCGTCTGGGGACCATGTAAAACATCAACTGTCATTAACTGTAGAGCAAGAGAAATGAGTTTGTGCTCGGTCCTCGACAGGCAGCAGAGTGCAAGAGGGCAAACCAGCCAGGATGAGCGAGCAGTGTTGTGTAATCATGATTTAACAAAGTGCTTTGAAATACAGCGCCTACGGGGATGCTAAGGGAAATACCTGTGTCTGGTAAATGAGGTGTTAAGGAGTTAGGGGGTACATCATTCTGTTTAAATGTGCTGTTTGGGAGAGGTTTGCTTTTAATTTGCCTCACATTATTTAATATCATTCAGTGGCACTAAATATTACACATGTAAAAATTCTATAACACCTACACTATCAGTCAAAATTTTGGACTCGCCCTCTTAACCTATGTTTTTTTTTTTTCTTTGTTCTTACTACGTTTTACATTTTAGATACATACAGAAGACATCAAACGTATGAAGCAGGATATATGGAATTATTTAGTAAAGAAAAAAAGTTTAGTTTAGTCTTTATTTGAAGGGACAATGAGACATTAAGATAATAAAAACATAGATGTTCCACACAAGATTAGAGCTAGTTTCCATCTACCGTCCTTGATTTACAGTAATAAATTATACAATGCAATTAGTAAACAATAAGAACAATTGAAAATTTCCACTCTCTCTCTCACATAGACACACCCACTCCATATCACAGATTAACAGATCAAAGCGTTATTTACAATGTCATAAATTTCATTTTCCACCGACCATTTCTACAGTTAAAAAGCAAAGCATGGCTATTTAAGGGTTTGGTTATAAAATATAAAACAATATATGTAGTAGTCTTATTTAACTGTTTTTTTCTTAGCTACATAATCCCATATACAATATCTTACTTCATATATTTGAGTCTTCTGTATGTATATAAAATGTTGAATCTAGTAAACACATAGAAAGAAACACTGAATGAAATGGTGTGTCCAAACTTTTGTCTGATAGTGTGTCAAGAAGACAGAAGCAGAGTAAAAAAAAAAAATCTTAGAGACGTGTATCAAAAGATGTAAACAACGTAGTAAAAGCTTCAATTTTGGGCTAAAACCACACACCAAAACTGATTTGACCCATATAGCAGGTGTTGATGGCCAGATATGAGTGAAAATGCTTTGTCATAGTGCACTTCTGTTATCTTAAAATGGTTTCCCAGTATGCATATCATGTAAGATGGCTCACCAATTCTCAACTTTGGCTCACTATAGATAACCATATATCATGTCACTATTTAATATGATTCCATGATTTCACCTTATGACCTCTTGTATATAGAGATATATTTGTATTACTATATTTATTTTTAAATTTTTACTTGTACATATACATTTATATAACTATGCCTTATTTGACCCCAGTCTCTTGTTATTTTTGCTACTTATTTTAAATTTATTATTACCATTTATATTTTTGCTCTTTGTCATTATATTGTGATATGTGAGCTATTGTGTACAAATAATTTCCCCTGTGGATCAATAAAGTCTGTCTAAGTCCAAGTTATAATAATATTGGGATAATTAAAACATAATTTCAAAACATTAAATCAATAGTTCAGTCTTCCCTATAAACCAGTTTCCCAGCCTTTTTGCTTGCTTCCTGACTCTTGCACTGAGCAAACATCCTTGTCTGAGTCAACTAGGCCTAAGTCTCCTCCCCTTTTTCCAGTTGTAAAATTAAGATAATGTTCTTTGAATGGCCTACAACAATCAAAGTAAAGTGGATTTCAACATAACCCCTATTTCAAGTGCACTGTCAATAACTCCAGTGAAACCATGCTATTCCTTCCTCTTACCCAGATCTGTAGTTTGACCTTCTTGTCTTTTCGATAGATGGTCTTGACTTTGAAATCGATGCCCACGGTGCTGACAAAAGCTGGGGTAAATGAGTCATCAGCGTATCGGAAAAGAAAGGCAGTTTTGCCCACGCTACTGTTACCAATGATCAACAGTTTAAACATGTAATCAAAATTTTGGTCCGCAGCATCCCTCTGCTCCTGGATCTGCGGTGCTGGCTCCTGGGCTAACGCCATCTGTGCAGACAAGAAAGGCCAAATTACAAAACAAAAACAACAAATGTTAAGCAAGTGGAACTGTTTTTGGATTTAGTACAAATTAAAAACACATATGATTTTTACTGAAAGGTGCACTTTTTGGTTGGGGGTCCATCACCTTCTCATTTCCATGGACATGACATTAAACAGATCTACCTTGCTTTTATTCAATTACAACTGGCTTTATTGCTCAAAAGTACATAGAAAAACAGGCATTCTGACTCTGGGCTGGGTTGCCTCTTTAGAGATTTGACCTGTAACTTGGCCTTGTTTGGTCTCCATGATGATAGAAAGGTTTAACGCCACAGTCGCTGTGAAATATTTCTGACAAAGCAATAACATCTCCACAGAGAAAATCAGGTAGCAGTTTCTGTCTGTGAATAATAAAATCAGCCCAGTTTATAAAAGTGTCATCAAGTGTTCGTATGCTGACCTCTAGTGGTCAGAGTGTGCTGGGCTATTTACGCTCTAAAATGTCAAAAGCACTGGCTATTGTAGCAGAAGGATGTAACAAGGCACCAGTACCTACAAAGGTCAGTTTCTCTGTCTACAGAAACAGGTGAAAGCAAAAGGACTTGATCCTTGTGTGTTTCAGGATCCAATCTCAAAGATGCACCAATCGTCACTAGACATTAAATACAATCATTTTACTTGGTTACACCTACTTACAGAATATTAGACCATATAAAAAGAAGATGGACAAAAGCAAACTGCAAACAGTATTAAGTCTTTAGGCTAAATGACTAACAAATAGGGCGGAAACAAGCCAATATAATTGTAAACTAATCTAATAATCAAATAATTGTTTCTGGATTATACACAGACTCTCACTCTGCGATGTGCCAAGAGAATTGGTTTTATGACTCATGCAAAGTAGGAATTACTTGTTGTAAATGTAAATGTAAATGTTTTATTTAGATTTAGTGCTTCTGATGAAAAACATTATTACACAGATGTCTTTTTATATTTTATGAATGAAATAAATACACAAATAAAAATTAATAAATAGATCAAAAGACCAGGGGCCCAGGGTTGGAGCTTCTTCCTATTAAATTACAGACCTATTAGAGGGGGCCATGTAAGGCTTCTATCCCAGACCCCCAAATTTCTCTCGACGGGCCTGTAGACCACTGGTAAATGGGAGTGTTCTTCTTAAATGGCCCACCGTCCTCCTCACTCATCTTTTATCTCTGTCATTTGCTGAGTATGAATTACAGCCGGGCCGTAGTCCGCTCTGTTCCCCGCTATCAGTCACAACCCGCCGCGTGTGTACATTTGTCACCTCGGACTTATGAGTTGTTGCTGAGCGGTAAGTGAGGCGCTGGGATGTTCCATAAATCTATCCATCTGACCTTTCATTCACTGACTGACTCCGATTAAACACACACACAATCTCACTTACACAGGCATTCATCTTCCTTCACTAGCTCCCCCTCTCTCACACACGCGCGCGCGCGCGCTCAGCCTCCTCCCTGTCATCATCCATCCACGGCTCCTCGCGCTCTCCCCCCTCCGCCCCGCTGCATCATAAGCAGGATGGGGCGTTCATTCATCCTTATATCCAGACCCTCCCTTCTCCATCCACACCTCTTCCTTGTGCGCATCATAGCTGGGCTGACAGAAGCCAACTCTCCGCTGATTGCTCGGCGCTCCCCAGAGACTAGCTCAGCATTACAGCTCACAAGACCGCAGAGTCTGGCAGGGTGGAGGCACGTAGCAAAAAGCACCGAGCAAAACGCCACAAACCACGCATGCGTCCCCTGGGTTTCAAACGTACCCTTTTTTTGTTTGTTTGTTTTGTTTTTTTTCCCTAAAGTGAATTGCACAAAATAAGTGACCGTCCATCGTTACAATCAGTCTCCATAATCACGATATTTCACGACCAACTAAAATTCGGGTGCAAAGAAACAACAGGTTACCCACAAGTTGACCAGGAAACGCAAACATTTTTAACCCAAGAAGAGCTTTTCTATTTTCCAAAAGAAGTTGAAAAAGCTTTACATCATTCAAACATTCAGAAACTTTGTAAGCAATCATACAGAAGTTATAATTTAGAAAAATAAAGTGAAAAATATGCTCATGTCATTTGTTAAATACCTGAGAATGTGTGTGCTGTCTCGCGTCCTTCACACGTAGTCCTCTGGCTGCGCTTGGTCTCCCCGCACCTGGATCACCACGCAGTCACTCAGCACAGGGTAAACACCAGAGAAAAGCCCTTCCACCACTACGGGCTTATGCAGGAGAAAGAAGAACGGGGCTGCTTCCGCCGGTGAGCTTCAAAATAATACACTAAAAAAAGAGTAGGCAATTTTCTTTTTTCTTTTTTTTTGTATTTTTGTGGCATAATCACTCTTTTCTTTGAGAGCATGAAGAAGGATTATGTGAAAGAATAGTTAAGTCTCGTGGAAACCAGCAAATATTATCCTACTTTTTTCAGTTGGTAGTCTGGAACTTTTGTCTTTCTACGAGTTAAAGGTGCACTGTGTAACTTTTGGTGGAGGGCCTGTCACCAGCTTTTTTCCATGGAGATGTTGCCTGAAATGTTCTACTGTATGTCATTACACTTATCTCTTTGAAGACAGCAGGCAACACCACAGGGCCAAGTTACATGTCAGATCTGTGGAGAGGTAAACCCACTCACACCCATGTTATTGAGTAAATGCAAGGTGGATACATTTAATGCCATACCGGGACATTCCAGACAAAGCAACAACATCTCCATGGAGACAAACTGATGTCGGGCCCTCCACCAGAAAGGTTACAAGAGCATTGTGTTGCACATTTGTTTTGTTAAATGTTACATACTTCTAAACTCATCTTTATTATTCCAACTGTGCACTTACCCAACATCCAAGCACTTATCACACCACAAACTTTCAACAAGCCAGCACAGAGAATTGTGAGTGAGGAGTCATCAAAAGTTGAAAAAAGGGTTGTTTTAATTAAATGTTGGCAAAACCACTGAAAACACAGGAAGTAATAACCTAAGAAACCCTACCAAGCTGCATTTCTCTCACTGAAGCAATGTTTGTATGGTAAAAATTATGCAACTCTCCGTGTGACAATCTCGTAACCTTTTCCATATTTTCATTCAAAAATTTCCAAACAACTGAACAAAAAGCAAACTGATTATTCAAACTAGATTCTAAAGAATCCAAAACAATTTGCAGGACTTTTTTGATCGAATGAACAATATCGCAAGCATTGTATTTCTCATAGTCAGTCATGGTCTTTAGAATGCTTGAACTGAGTTGGGATGTTTGAGAGGATCATTGATCTCCCAAAGACGATTAAACTCCTGGATGTAGGGCCTCACCAATTCAGGCTCCATCGTGACAATGAGGTTCTCCATATTCCCCTGCACTGCAGTCAGTGTCCAGTTGAGGGAGCCAGTTATGAGTATGCTGCCGTCCACCAGTGCAAACTTGTGATGCATGTAGACAGAGCCCACATCAGAGCGGACACAGATGCCTGCAGAGAAGGATTAGGTAAGGAACAGTCTAAATCTAAGAGGTGCCTAAACTATGGCCTAGGGGCTAAAAGCAGCCCAGGTGATCATGAACAGTGCGTTTTACTTCAAATGTAAGTCATTCTTATCACATGGTATTGTAATACAGACATATCCTTAATTGTCCAGTCTTATTAGCTACAGTGGTTTAGTAGCTAACTAAATCCGAATTACTCATTATATTCATCACTATAATGAGTACTGCCTGTGGCTCTCTACTTCAAATATGTTTCAATATAGGCTTCCTCTATTTTTCTCATCAATTATTAGCAATATAATAGCAATATAACACAAACTTCTAGTTTATTTGTTATGTATTCAATAGTATTATGGATGTGATGTTGATTTGTTTTTTACTCTACTTATCACAAGAAACATTTTACAGTAGTAATTGGAGAGAAATCAGCCAATAAATGCAGTTGCCAGCTGTTGTTTCTGCAAAGTTTATATAAAATAATTTTTATAAACCTATGAGAGGAAAGAGCAGGGCTGGCACAGGGCTAGTGAGTACATGACTGTGCTACGCTGGAATAATACCAGGTTAACTGTGGACCATTAACCTGGGGCTTGAGTAAACAATTATGTTGGTGTTCGAATACTTACAGCTACTTGAGACTAAAAGCCTGTCTGGAGGAATATTTTGATTGAGAAGAATTCCTCTAAAGTGATATGCTGATGTTTGCAATGTGGAGGCACAGAAACACTTTGCCTGATGAAATCAGCTGTGTGAATGCCAATTTTGTACTTACTTAATTCTTAGTTAAAATTGTTCAGAGGAAGCCATTTCTTAAATTGACTGCACAGTGTGAGGCATGTTACCTAGTATTTTCTTATTTTATAGAGGACACTGACATCCTGTATTTATTCCTTTGGTTAATTTTTATTAACTAGAAATTATTATTCATTATTTGCTGATAAAAAAAATCTAGAGAGAAACAGATAGTTTGATCAAGTATTAGGTCAGTTTTGTTATCGGCTCTGGAAGTCAGTTAGGCCAGTCACTTTCAGTTTTTTCTTTACTGGTCACTGCTGACACTAATCATACTAAAAATTACACAAATCAGTGTTAGTATCAATATCAGGACGGAAAAAGCTGGATGTCCAAATAGATCTTAACCACCTTTCGAAGACCTATTAGTACATAAACCCATTTTACAATATTTCCATTGTACATTATCACTCAGCTGTCCAGGATAAGTTGGATTTCCTGGTTTCTTTGTCTCAAGAAACCACAGTTATCCTCACCTGCCTGGCGGAGGGGCCCAATCTGGGAGCCGGAGATGGCAATGTACTGCTTGTCACTGAGCACACGGATGATCACTCCCTTTTGATGCAGCGCTAGAACAGCCCTGCACAGGTCCATGTTGGAGAAGGAAAAAACACACAGGTCCAGAGATGAGGAGGCAGACAGGATGTGGCGAAGGAGACGAGAGAGGGATGTCTCAACACCATGAGGCAACGCACAGTAACAAGGACTGGAAACGCACAAAACAAGTGTTGGCATGCACAGTGAATATGCCATGTCAGCAGCAAGTGTATCTGAATGTCATGTTTCACCTACTAAGGTAGTGAGGGCCTGAGCAGGTGCTCCACACAACCCAGCTCAGAAGGGAAAAATATGACTTCATTGAGTGTTTTTCTAGCTTTATATCTACGACGAAGCCAGTTGAGCAATTCCACACTAACAGAGGCAGCCAGCACACTGAATCCAATCACCTTCACTGTCCACATAATTTTCCTGTGAATTTATAAGTTTTATTACTCAGGAAATCATACATTTAAATGGAAATATTGTATTGTAGTTCAGGCTTTAGTAGTTAGATTTAATGTAACACAGCTCCTTTATTATATTTAGCAAAACAAAAGTAAAAAACATACGCGACCACTTGGGCACAAGAAACAACAAGAAGCTGTATCAAGAATCAAAAGTAAATTAATTAAATGCATCTAATAGAAGATAAACAAAAAGCACACCTACTGAGTTTCTGTCGCCACCACGCGGGAGGGAAATGCTTTTAATGTCGTCATAATGATTGACGGATCATGTGTCCAATCACAGCCCAGGATTTGCCAAAATACGTCCAATCAAATATCTGCGCTGCCGGGGCTGAGGCGGGTTTGGGATTTCCTTTACTATCAACTCGTGTTTCCTACAACTTAAGGTAAATAATGGTCTTATAAAGTATTTCTCTCACATAATAAGCGCCCCGAAGGATATAATACTTCTGACTGAAGCGTGTAGAGAGGTTTTACTTATTTTCTAGCATGTTTAGCTTGTGGTTTGCTAACTAAACAACAAACATGCTAACACTAGCTCGCTACAAGCTGTTATTCTCACGAATGTTTTCTCTCGTTGAACAGTAAATAATGATCGGGTCTACGCATACTATCCATGACTTATACTTGTCCTTTTTCTTTTGAAGGCTTGCATTTGTCTGTCATGGGTCGCCGAAAGTCCAAAAGAAAGCCTCCTCCTAAGAAAAAAATGACTGGGGACCTGGAGTCTCAGTTCACTTGTCCTTTTTGTAACCACGAGAAGTCATGTGATGTCAAAATGTATGTAACAAAAAGTTTCTCTTGATATTCACAGATTTGTTGAATGTCATTAACTTGTTTTCTCTTGTTTTCAACAGGGAGCGGAGCAGGAATACTGGCATAATCTCCTGTTCAGTCTGCCTGGAGGAGTTCCAAACCCCCATTACATGTATCCTTATATTATCTCCAATTTAAAGGTGAACAATGTTGCTTTTCTGGTTGAGGGACACTCTTTTTTTGTCTCCATGGAGATTTTATTGCCTTGCCTAGAGTACACTGGTTGTCTGGTTTTAGATCCTGCTGAATTTGAACAGAAAGATCAAGAACATTCCTCATAAAACAGCAACATCTCCAAGAAACGAGCAGCTAGCGGACCCTGCACCATAGTGCTTTTTGATAATTTTGAATCTATCTATTGTTTATTAGACAAACATTAAGAGTCTATTTTTTGTGGTTTCAAACTTTTCCCTTAACACACAACACCCAGATCTATCAGAGCCTGTTGATGTTTATAGTGATTGGATTGATGCTTGTGAAGCAGCAAACCAGTAGCCCCTGCTAAAGTCTGTACTGCTGATGAGAGGAAAAGATGGCCATGTCATTTAAGAATCCTGCAAGACTTTGTATTGTTTTATGCCTTCTTTTATATGCAATGGTCACGATTACGCATTGTTTAAAACTACTGTCTTCATTCAAATAGGATAAATTTTTTTCCTATTTAGCTTTAGTAATTATTTGCTTGGGTGTTTCTTAAAACACCATGAGATACATTAAACTTTTAATTTGAATAGTTTGAATGTTACGTTTTGAGATGGTTTGAGCTGTAAATTGTGTGTTTTCTTTTGTAAAATTTTGAGCAATACATTAGGTTTATGACGTAATGCTTAAATAAACAAGATCATCTATTAGTAGTTTTATGAGTTTTAGTCTTATACAATTAGAATGCAAAGTTCCATATATGAAAAAAGGACTTGATATACAGAATAAATGAAGCTTTATATTGTTAAAATTCACATCTCAACCTCAGGTTTGCATATTTTTACCTAAGACTTGACCACATGGTAGCCTACATTTGTTGTATAGAGCATGTTTAGATGGCAGGTTTCACTGCAAAATATGTTTTGGAAATCGATCTCAACAGTTTTTCTTACTGCAAAAAGTCTACAATGTGTATGGATGGCAGAAGCAATAAATATTTTTGTTTTAGAACCTACTTCATCCTTAATTGTGGAAAGATTAAACTATGCAATCATTTTGAGATTGTTTTTGCCAAGAGAGAATGTTTTAAACAGCAATTTTGCATATCTACAGAATATAAATAATGAGATACACATTCAGTCTGAGCAACATTTATGTCGTTTTAATAGATCGACACCAGTTATGGCCTTCAAGTTGACAGATTTGTACCAGTTATGATTTGTGAATCAAATGAAAGCCATTTCTACTTCTCATATCACAGCCTTAACAAATGTGCATTTCATGTAGAACTCTGTAGCTGGCCTTTATTCTAAACTTTCGTACTGCAGTAAGCAGTAATCTACCCTCCCTTGGTAAGCTATTTATGACATGACACATTTTACAGAAGTCCAGTATCCATTCATCCCTGCTGTGAGCCCAGGATGTAGCAGAGCAAAAATGAAAGTAGACAGTGTAGCGGGGCTGTGCAGCGGGCAGAGCTGAGTGATAATAGATGAGATGTGGAGTGCCTGTATGGGCTCTCCACCCAGGAAGAGTGTATGCGTGTACTGCTCTGTGCATTGTGTTTGATGATGGACCCCAGCTGGAGAGGTATTGACGACGCCTTATGAAACATGCTGCAGGATGATTACAATGGAGAATGATTATCACTTAGTGTCTCTTCTGTCTCTGAGCGCCCCCTCCCTGCTCCTGCCCCTCTATTCTGTTCCTAGCTGCGTCTTTCTTCTCTTCCATTCAGCACGCGAGGTCAAGTGTCACTCTGTCTTCGTTGTCAAGGCTGCCAATCACCCACACAGCGAGTGCAAGGCAACTGTTGCCAGGGAAACAGAGCGATTCGGTTGCTAGGCACCTGGAGCTGTGCTCACAATAGTCATTTTGTTGCTTAGAAGCACATACACTCAAGCACAGACAAATACACACAAAATGCCGAAATGGCTGTGCCCATTCAACAAGTTCACACAACAATGATGTGAAATTCAAACACATTACAGTGGCCTAATGAATAGGGGATTTGCTTACACAGCATTAGTAAGTCATGGAAAAGTAAATTATAAGAGCGCAATTTATCATGTACATGTTTCCAGACATGCTAATATATTGCTGAATTTGCACTGAAATGCTGATTTTCTCATTTATAATACTTAGCAATAATGTTAATGTACTGAAAAGGTAAACCATGATTTGCCAGCGCTCTGCTTCCTGATTAATCAGCATCCCCTGACATTCAAGAATTGTAAAGACCCACCCCTTTACTGATCAATAAAAGACATAAACATCCATCATTCTGCCTAAAAATAGTGACTCAAAAAATCAATCAGTCCCTTATTCCCCACAGATGTGGACCCGGTGAACCGTGGTGGAGTGGTACATATGAGCACTTGTGTCTGAAGCGTGTGCAGTTAAAGATCATCAATCTCACATTTGCCTGTAGCATGTGGATGGTGCGAGCCCTGTGCAGTTTATACACTCCTGATGGTGTGTTTGTGAGACGGCGTGACAGCCACTCAGCTGAGCCGACTGCTGAAATGTCAGACCACGGGTGCAAGGCTTGACATGTCCTCATGTGTTACTGTCTCCTGTTGCTGCTACAGGCATCAAACTTTCACACATTTTTAGCCTAATCTGGATAGTCAAAAATAGGGGTGCCACCATAGATGGAACCACTCTGGTACATTGGCTCTAACATTTACAAGACAGAAAATCGGATAACGCCTGATGAAAACAGCCAGTATTGTGACCAAAGTAAGAAATTTGACTTCTGTTCAATGTGAAGAAAAAGTCTAGAGTGTGAAGGGGCATGAAAGGCTCTCATCAACTGATAAGATTATAAGCTCACTTGTGACTGACAAGAGTATGTAATCAAAAGGGCTTTGAATTAGTAATGTCTGCACTTGAAGATTTTGTTGTTAAGCTCCCTGAACTAAAACCCTGGCTATAGCTCGAGACCCCAATTTAGTTTTTTCTCGTGGTAGAGCTCCTGCAGGAGAGCTCAGCACCAAATTCATTTCCAGCCAAGGTGCAAAGAGTGACACGCTTGATAAACCATGAGCAATAAAACCTTTTCAGCAACTGCGGTTTATTTCACCACCTGCTAGCCACAAGTGTGTTTCGACAAAAGCTTTCCAAGTTAACTTCATACAGTTAGTTTATGCTATTTAATTAACTGGCAATGTCGTTCCAGTGTGGGCGTGTGATCTGATCTCACGCCAGTCTAGATCAGTGGACAGCGCCTCCACTCAACTACGCGTATTCTCAAGCAATAACATCCACATCTGTATTATCAACCCAAGAATACCCGTGGTCGAGACTGGAGCAGTGAGGCTGGCCTCCTCTTCCCATCTGTTTCTTCCTCTTTTCTCTGTAGCTCATTCTCTCCTTTTCAGCAAATATCCTTTCAGCTCTCCCCACAAGATTGCCATGTGCAGGGAGGAGGTCTTTGCGGACATTTCTTTTAAGAACAGCACCTAGAAGAGGAACAAGAGAGAGAGAGGAAAAGAGAGAGAGAGAGAGGGAGTGAGAGAAATAGACAAGAAAGAAACTCATATTTACCCTTGAATCACAATGCAGCTGAATTGCCTCCACACATATTTCACACGTGCATTCCGGTCCCATCACGGAACACATTGTGGGACTAATTGCCTTATTGAAAGTGTTAAAGAACGCAATGTACGCCCACACTGGCAGACTGCTATGCGTGCTTACCTGAACTGAGCCGAGTAAACATATCACGCTGCCAAACGCCAAGTAGTCCCTTTGCTCTCAGTGGTATCAAGCATGCGTTTAGCTGGAGAGCTGAGGGAGAGGCCCAGTTCACCAATTATCAAAAAGGTGTCCGTGTGTGTTACAAGCGTTCAGAGGGGAGAGAGAGATTACCAAACAGATGTTCAGCTTTCACCTCCGTCCACCCCCTCCCTCCCTGTCTTCTTTGCCTATTCAACATGATCTTTTTTTTTTTTTTTTTTTTTCAAATTCTCACTATCTTTGTCTCCTCCACTATCCTTCACCACTCTCTCCGGCTGAAAGACTCCCTGGTTCTCCTCCTCCTCCTCCTCCTCTTCAGCACACAGACTTCTTTCTGTCTTCTTCTGTCCATCCCACGGAGAATAAGCCTTGGCTCTTCCCTATCCACACTTGCCAATTAGAGACACAGTAGTTGTCAATCAGCAGTGAAGCAGAACACTGAGAGTTATTGGGGGAGAAAAACAGAGGTGTTAAAGAAACGAATAAGTGGGGTTAGTATACAGGAAGAGGATCAGCACCATAGACAGCTCCCTTTGGGCAACTCCTCCTTCCTAGTTTTCGTGCTTTTAACCTTTCCATTCTAATCATGGCAATCCCTCTGCTCTCCTTTCTGCCTCCCCTTAGCCCTGTGTTTAACCTTCTCCCCGGCTTGTTTATCTACCCAAACGCTCTAACCTATCAAAGCCAGCCACAATCACAATCCTCTTCTCTTTCAAACTGTCACTGTTAAAGCCAAAAATGGAGAAACATAGACAACGCAATCACACAAGACCCTTGCACTTCATCTGGCTCATTACCTATATATTTCTTTGAGTAGTCCCTCCAATCCTCAACTGTCCGTGTCTGTGGCAGCGTTGATGACGGGAACCCATGTGGACATGTCTTCTGTTCTCGCCACGAGCTGTGAAGAGATGTAGGTAGGTGTCAGAGATCCAGGATAAAAATACATCCTTCTATTGGACTCTTCGCGATACAACACAGGAGTGGACCCATGTCTGTTTTATGTCACCAAAATGTCTCAGTCTAATTTAAAGCCGTGTTTCAGAAAAGTGTCTATGGCGGGTTGAAGGTATGAGATTTGAGTCTAGAGTCGAGAGATAGTATGGATGGGTGGGGTAGTGTGAGGATATGAAATTTATGGTGAAAACACAAATCCTTGCTTTGCTAATAAAATACACTTTATTTAGTTGCTGACTATGACCCTGGAAAATGTGAGTGCTGTGCCTACTACAGTGCATTTTGAAGATAATAAAAGAAAATTTATAAGAGAGGATATTTTCAAGTTTTTTGTTAGTTTTTCAATCCTCATCCAGTACCTCTGTGAGTCAGAACATGGGCATGTTGTGATGACAAATGTCAAAGTGTTCTTCCAATTGTGTTTACTGTCGTCATTTATTGGGTTGTGTATTTATCTCGTGTACAGCTTGTTCTCTTATGTTGTCCTTTGTTGATTATGATTTACATTCACAGGTCAAAATTAAATTAAATTTCAGTTGTTCTTAAGTTACGACCAGCCATTTAATTTTCCTTTGCTGTGAGCGCTGCAGCAAATGATCTGCCACAATTGGATTTTACACTGGATGCCCTTCCAGACACATACTACTTTAGTCTGGGAGTACACTGGCTTTGTTACACTATAAAACGTAAGTGAGTACAAGGCAAACTAAGATGTCTATATGTGTCTGTATCTGTCTGGACAATATTGTGATAAAAAATTGAACAGTCTCATTGTCGATTTGCTATTCTGGTAATGTTGTCATATCGTGATTCACCATTTCTCTGTTTTATGCAGCTCTGCGCTCATATTACATATTTACTTTTCCCCACCCTCTCCTCCTATTGGTCCTGCTCTGTCATGCTCTGAGCGAGGGACAGGTGGATTAAACCAATCACAGAGAAACGTGAACTATGTGATGAAGCAGATTACTTACGTTTCCCCTTTAAAAGCTATAAAGATAATAAAGATTCTGAGTGTACATGAATTGTGATAAAATCGAAATTGTAATCTAGCTGTAAAAAAAAGATATTAATTTTTTGTCATATCACCCACCTCTACTTTTATGGTTGACAGGAAGCTGGATTCAGATATTGAACCTCAGACAATGGCGCACTAAACTGCAGTACTTCCACATTTAACGGTCAAACTATCTTTACCACCGTATTCTTGTCATTTGCACATGGATTTTTATAGACCCCCAGACATCACAATGAGGGTTAAAGACATCTGGTTTGCATTTATAAGAAAATCCATTTCCTGAATAGACTTGATT